GAGGCAGAGGCAGAGGCAGAGGCAGAGGCAGAGGCAGAGGCAGAGGCAGAGGCAGAGGCAGAGGCAGAGGCAGAGGCAGAGGCAGAGGCAGAGGCAGAGGCAGAGGCAGAGGCAGAGGCAAGCAGATTTCATTGATATCAAGAGCAGCCTAATCTACAGCGTGAGTTTCATTACAGCCAGAACTGTTCTATCTAGAAATCTTGTCTCAAAAAACCAAAACCAAACAAATAAACAAACAAAAAAACCCACAGGTTTTGTTGACCTTGTCATGGTCTACAACTACAACTTCAATTTATCTTAAACTCATCCCTCACCATTTTGTAGCATTCCCTCACCTTTCAGAAAGTTCTTATCATAACCATGATTAAAATCATCGAGTAGGAACCATGGCACCCCCTGAATATCTTGCTTTCTTAAAGGTCCTATACCAAAAATCTTAATCTAATATGTTTAAATTCAGTCTGACATACCATTTCAGGATATGGCAAGGCTGCATATAGGTTCATTGTCAGAATACAACAAAATGTTTAGAGTCCAATTTGAAGGATGAATATAGCCCATGTTTCTTCATTCATGAAGAGATATAAGCCAACTCTTCAATATATTTATTACTGTAGTAATTCTGACCCATCCTGCTTCCACCACAATTTCCCATGAATCTCTGAATTCTTATTGTTCCACATCTCTATATCCTCCAAAATTTGTTCTGTAACGAAATTCCCAGATTCTTAGAAAGATAGAATAAGGTTGATCATAACAAGGCCACAACTTCATGATATCAATGATCTATATTAGCTAACATTATTCACTTTCCCTGTTTAATCTTGGCTGTTTTGTCACTACATTAGGAGACAAAGATTTTCAACTCTCTCTCTCTCTCTCTCTCTCTCTCTCTCTCTCTCTCTCCTCTCTCTCTCTTTCTCTTTCTCCTCTCTCTCTCTCTCTCTCTCTCTCTCTCTCTCTCACACACACACACACACACACACAATAACATTAAATATTACATATGTATGTTAAATCCCTTTAGTAACTTTTACTCTTTTGTTTAATGTTGGATTTCTCTTGAGATAAGATATTTCTAATGGGCCGTAATATTCAAAAGTCAGGATCCCTATAGCATTGGATTCCCTTTAAGAACCTCCAACCAAATATTCCCTTATTTCCTGAGAGATTTTTATAAAATAATATTGTTTGAAATGTTCTTCTCAATATGTTCTCTTATGTCATGATACAAGTCAAGGGCTGTATATTCAAACTATAAGATTCAGTTATGAGGTCTTAATTATTTAGAAACCTTTATTCTTATTGAAATACATGTTTAGAAATATCTCATTCTCTCTCTTCGTGTGTGTGTGTGTGTGTGAGTGTCCCATGACTAAATGACTGAGACTAATATAAAGTATATGGGGCTTCTTATTCTCCATCTGATGAGGCAAAATCTAGCAGGTACAAATATTTTACTAAACAACACTAGTCTTCAGATGACAGGACTTAGGATAATAAGTTACTGGTTATTCAGTTGCCTGATTAAGCTTAAGAAATTTGCTCCACTGTTCACAGGAAAATATATGAGACCAAGTTCCCTAGAAATGACATTTAGTAAAACATATCTCTAAGGTAACATAAGATGAATTCCATTTAAAAGATTTACAGAAAAGGTGTCTGCGAGAACAGGAAAAGTGAGTGTTAGAAGGATAACATTCTTGGCACTTATCACAATCCCTAGGTTGGAGAAATGTACAAGGAAGGAAATATGAAAGTTAAAAAGAAAGGTGAAAAATCACTATGTAATTACAATGTATATAACCTTCTCAATTTCTCCATTATCCATAATATTTTTAAAATTTCCTAAAATAATATTTTAATTTTTATGAATATAAATTTAAAAGTTTTACCTTACAAAATTTCAGATTCTTCAAATTCCCAGAATAGAGTTCCTCATTACATTTCAAGCTGGTAGTTTTGAGAAGGCAATTTTTTTTTATATCGGTAAGAGTTCAGTTTGTTATTGGATCACCTGAAAAGAAAATAGAACAGGTAACTTTCTTTTAGTAATTCTGAATTTACATCATATTCATATTATATTTACTTAGTTATAAAATTCAAAGATCTAAGGCTAAACTGTATTCATTAATATCCCATGAAAGAAAAAGTCAGCAAGAAGCAAAATATTTTACCTTTTGTAAACTTTGATGTTGTTTTGCTTGAATTCATATATAATGAACATATTCCTAACAGACCTTTTAAAATCAACTGGCTATTACCTAGAAGTCCCAAAAGGCAAAATTTCCTGGACAGCCTTACTAAGAACCACTGAAGTCAATTACAGTTGTAATAATTCCTTTATTCTAAAAACTAGATTTATTAGTTCCCAGAAAATACACTGGATTTGGTCAAATAGATCATGGTCATATTTTCCTCAAATATAATTAATAATTTACTTGCTTACCTGTACAATGCATAGCGTTGGAGACAATGTGAGAATTGTAAAAAGTGTTGCAAAATATACCAATTTTTTAAGCTATGTTCAAAGACATATGTCATACCATATGTATCATGTACTTTTTTCAAGATGGTGGGAAAATATGTGGGAGAAAGACAGCATGAGAAATAGACAAGAGTTTATCTTCTGGTTTGCAGGTAAAGTGCATCATTGTAAGAACACATAGTTTCCGGATCATAAAACAACTGGAAACAGTGCACTAACACTGAAGAGGTTGTAAATGATAAACTATAGTGCTATCATGATAAATTTATAAGCTTCTGTTTTTATGCCTTGGATTTATGTGTAGAAAATAGAGCCAGTCACACCCAGGATTCTTCCTTCTACCAATGTTAAGACTCACTCGAAATGTGCTTAGATACACTTCATCTCTAAAGATCTAGATCAAAATTATAAACTCATCACATTGGTAGGAAATATTAGCCATCTCAACTCTATCTTTTGTCAATTTGATGGCCAAATGCATTACTTTTAAATCATAACACTACACAGCAGTTCTTAAAATCTCATGTTTATTTCACAATGGGAATTATGTTTCCCACCACTATACACATGACTAAAGTCTTAAAATTTCTAATGATGTTAGACATATGTTTTCAGCAATCTTATAGAGATGAGTCAGTGGTTAAAGCTCATAAT